TGACTCATAATATACTGATTATGTATGTTGTTTTAAAAGCAAAAAGTTTTGTACATAATAACACCCAAATGATCCTTAAACTTTAATAAAATGTATTGATAATAATAATAAAAATAATTTCTTGTCATTTTTGCAAAAAAGTGATCTAAATGGTTACAAATGTATTTTCATTATTTTTTATTTTACTTTAAGTAATTGTTACATATTTCTCCAAATGAATGACTGATGTATTGAAGGTTATCCAGTTGTGTGTTTTATTGGCTGACGTAATATTAAAGCACTGAAAAAAATAAGTTAAAAACTGTGAAGTAAAAAAAAAAGTCATACTGATTGTCATTCTCAAAATTGATGTGTTGAGGTCATCTGTATGCTAGTGTACTCCTAAAAGTTGCCAAAATGGCCTTTTAGCATGCATTTAAAATTCTCAGCACATAGAGGTATTAGAAAAAAGAGGAAATAATAGAAGTGTTAAAACGACAGAAAGAAAGTAAGCTTATATCACAGGTCACCGTTTATAAAGGCAGTTTTCAGCATCGATTCCTCTTTTCTGTATGTGCAGGTCATCACCCATCCGCTCTACAGCAGCACGACTATCAACAATGACATTGCTCTGCTGAAACTGTCGTCTCCAGTCACACTGACTCCCCGTATCTCTCCTGTATGTCTGGCTCCATCAACCATCAACATTCTGCCTGGAACCCGCTGCTTCACCACTGGCTGGGGTAGAACTGCCACCACGTGTAAGTCATCTGTAAAACAAAAACATACTGAGAGAATTACAACACATCTGTTTACTGTGCAATGCAATGTGTCATGTTTTCTTCTTTTTTAGCGAGCCCTCTGATCCTACAGCAAACAGGTGTACCCATCATAAGTCCTGCTGTGTGCAGGCAGATCTGGGGTCAGAGCACTATCACTGATGCCATGATCTGTGCTGGAGCCTCTGGTTCCTCATCTTGCCAGGTATATGACAACAGATCAAGAAGAAACACATTACCATCTCAATGTTGCTGCTGTTCAATCTCAAATGTGTGTTTTCCACAGGGTGATTCTGGTGGTCCTCTGGTGTGTGAGCGTTCAGGGGTCTGGTCTCTGGTGGGCTCTGTGTCCTGGGGAAGAAACACTTGTGACACCCGTTTCCCTGCAGTCTACGCCCGCATCTCCCACCTGCGCTCCTGGATCGACAGGACTATCGCTTCCAACTAGAGCACCATTCTTATTTATTTAGTATTTATTCTCCAGAGGAGGAAAATGCAGTTTTTAATTATTAATATGTAACAGAGTTGATCTCTGTTGGTGGTGTTTTTTTCAGTCTGTCTGTGGTTCCAGTGATCTGG